CCATGATGAATAAAGATTGCCGAGTGGTTTCAAATAGTTTCAAACATTTAATTAAAACTATATTAATACTTGTAGTAGGTTCCACTGTTGAATTTGCAATTTACAGAGTTTAAACAATACTTAAAATAGTTAATATTATTTTTTTAACTCTTTCTTCTCGTGCAGCGCAATTGTAGAACACACTCCCCTCCCATATCCACGTTATCCCGTCGATTACTTTATTCAAGAAAAGGTTGACAATAATTTTATTGTTTATATTGTACGTATATAACATAACGTAATATATTAATTAAGTAATGTAATAAAATGTAATGTGAAGTGCACGAAAGGAGCCTCCCTGCATGACGTACCATTCCGGCGCACCCTGGGCAACAAATAATCGGTCGAGTACCTCACGACAATTGGCAACTCTTTTTACCACGACGGCAAGCATTATAGTGTATACCATTGATACGATAAGAAGAAGATGTAATATTTACACATATTATATGAGTATACTGACGTTATTTATTATACGTTAAATATTCTATGTATTTCTGTTTGTTTTTAATACCAAGTGACGGGACGAACAAGTCGTGCGCCTGGTAATAAGCCACACGCCTGCCCATAACAGTTGCAGTGTTACTCAGAGCTTTAAATCATAAATATCTGGGGGCACCGCCACTGCGTCCGTCACATTGAGACATAAGTTGACAAGTCTCATGTGCCTGTAATTTCACCAGCACCCTTAACCCTTCACAACCGGAACACACTAATGTGACCATTACTGCTTGGCGGTAGAAATACTTCCCTGGACGAGCTCTTTTACAAGGAGCTCTACTGCTACTAAATATGTATTTATGATACTTATGTAATTATCGGTAATTTTTTAATTATATCTAAATGTATTAACTTCATTATATTTGCCAGTTTATGAACTTCATTTTCATTGCCTTCGGTTGGCTGATAGAGATGTCTTTTAGAAATACCACCACCTTTTCTATAATTTATATTTCTTTGTATTTGTTTGGTACAATAAAGAATATGCAAAATTTTTTTCTTCTTTAAATATGATAAAAAAATTTATTATCAATTTTGAGTACAATATTGTCACACCATATTTTGATGACGATAGGTTCTAAATATATAGGTTTTACTTCCTTTAGTCTTTAGTCTGTTATAATTATTAATACAAAGATCGAACGCGCATCAAGAAAAATTCCTTCGATCCGGCTGGATACGAACCAGCGCCTTCCAATAATCCGTATTACACGCTCTCCCAACTGAGCTACGGGACGAACCAGACTGTATGAATTTTTCTATGCTGTTACAAATCTTTGTTTTTTTTTTTTGGCCGACGACTTTTTGGCCGTGGCATCATCTGTGAGAAATCTATTTGTTCACTCAGCCAGGTACCTTTACAGCTACCAGCAGCTCACTAAAGATGTCGCTTTAATAAATAATTGTAATTTTTAAATTCATTGAATATCAGGATGTCTAACTTGCATGATATTCAATTTCTTTTTTTAAATTACTTACTTACTCCACTATTTTGTTGTAATTATTAGTACAAAGAACGAATACCAAGAAAATTTCCTTTTATTTGGTTGGACTCGAACCAGCGCCTTGATAATAGTTATGACAATTTTAAATATTGAATTTTCTCTCTCACACACAAAAGATTTTAGAACCATTCTTGTTAAAAAAAGAGAGAAAAATTAAATTGTTAAAAGACGTAATACGGTGAGTAGAGTGGACAGATTTCACGGTCTTGTGGAAATAAAATGAAATAGGTTGCAGTAAAACCCGGGACATGTCGAGAATGCAGCGCGGACGGTTGAGATACTGTGAAGACAAAAGACGATTTGTAGGGGTGAATGTACGGATACTTAATGTAATTTAAAGATTTACTTATTTGCGAAACTAAGAATTAAAGCAGTTTTCTGTATTCTGTTGTCAATGGCTTTGTTATAAACATTCAGTCATTGAAAAACAATAAAACTGACGTTTATTGGACGATCTCGTTGTATCTGTGTGAAAGTACTGGGTTGATTCTTGGTTAAACCAACTTGAGAACTAATGTATTATATAAATCCTTGGTTATTTTGGTATGCATAATCAGCCACAAAATGTATCACTTTCTTAACAGTTAATTTAAACGCCATGTAAATGACATACAAGAAAGTTTTGAGTAAGAATTTTAACAATTTCCAGCTAAGACCCACAGTGCTTATAAAGTAACGAATTGCCATTTTATTTATAGAAATATAGATTTTAGTAGCAGTAGAGCACTTGTGAAAGAGTTCGTTCAAAGAAGTACTGCCGCCAAGCAGTAATGTCAGCATTACTGTGTTTTGGTTTTGAAGTTGAAATTACAGGCACATGGGACTTATGACTTATGTCAACTTATGTCTCAGGATGACGGGCGCAGTGGCAATGCCCCTCAGAAATTTGCGATTTAAAGCTTTGAGTGCCACTGCAACTGTTATCGACAGGCCCCGTCCCGTCAGTAGCTAAAAAAAAATGAATGTAATAAAGGTTGCAAAAGTTAAATAAAACCAGAAAATGTGAAATATTCACCTTTATTTCAAGACTAGAGGGTAGTCATCTTTGGAATGTAAAAAGTGTTGGATATCTGTACACAAAAATAAAGCAAGACATCTTTATATAATTTTTAGCTATACGTTATAAATCTGCGAAAGGCCTCTTTGGTCCTGATTTCTTTGAAGATTACAAATACCTTATCATATAAAAATATAACTAGACTCATATTTCAGTTAATACAAAATATAATACAAACAATTTCAAAGTCACACTTTGCTTTATTTACAATTTATAATATATTTATTTACAAATCGACTTTTTTCCTTCTGGAATAAGTTTGGATTAAAATCTTCATATACGTAATTAGGTGACTGTGCAATGATTAAGGCTGACAAATTATAAAACGAACACTTCGCTTTGCGATTTGCCTACCATTGTATAATAAATAAATAATGTAATAGCAACTGTATATAATTCCAAGTCGACCGAAAGCGTTCGGTCTCTATCAAACGCAAAGAGCAACTGAATAAAACCCGACGACAGCCGAAACACGAAGTTTGCCGAGGGACATTGAGAAAATAGAAGCACTGTAATGCAATGTTGACAGTTTGTAAGATGGCGGCAACGCCAACCATTGTATAATAAGCTTCTGTGTTTCCTCCACATGGCGTTTAATTCCAAAACACTACATGGCGCAGCCGGTAGGTACTACACCATGGTAGTAAAACATCGTGATATTCAGTAAAAAATAATATTACCAGCCCCCGTAGAAGCACAGTAGATTAACGGTGATTGTTTTTGTTGTAGACCTTTTGTTCAAAATTCTGTCCACCTCGTCATAACTAACGTATTTGCATTTTGGTAACTTTTGAGATATTGGAACCTAAAGTTTGATTTTTTGTTTGAAAGGACGATACCTCAGCTTAGTGCTGCTTTTTAGTCTCCACCTGTGTTCTCTGTCCAATATTGTCGGAACATAATTACCACAATAAAAATAAATAAAATCAAATTTTTGTATTACCACAATTTAGTGATAGAAATCAGAGTTATAGTATTTAATGAATAAAGTCTTATTGAATTTAATTTTAATTTAATATAAAGATAAAAACTTTAATTAAAAACAAGTGTAGGAATATTGATAGGAGTACACTGTACAGTTACTTTCGTGGGCAACTGTACACTATGCCACTGACTAAACTCGATTTAAGGTGCAATTTATATTGCCACGGATAGAAAGTAACCATAGCATAATGAAGTTTGTGTAAATTGTGTAACGTACAACTAAAAATGAGCCAAAAAAACAGGTCGCGTATCCTCTGGAGAGTTCTCGCACAGTCTCGGGAATTCACACTATACACAAATCCCTTTGTATTCGTTCCGGGACAATGTAAATTGAGCCTAACTAGTTTTAACTTAGAATAAAATCAATATTATTCTGGTGTAGGTAGTGTGGTAGGTCCAGATTAGAACAGAAAGTGGTCAGAACGACCATGTTACCACCAATTAGTGCAGGAAATCTCAAAACGTCGCCTCAGTCAGTACAAATTTCATTGAAGACAGCAGCCATCAGGCTTTCCGTTGACCATGATTTTGAGAGTGCGGCTACGTTAGGTTAGACAGACAGATTTGCAAACCAAACAAATTTCGTATTGAAAAAAATTGCATTGAACAGCATACAAAGGCCGCATTGGCAGAATCATAATTATTAATTGACAATTCATATTATGAATTTTCTAACAAAACAAAAAACGCAACTCGTCTATTTGATAGTTTTCTATGGAGACCTCCGTAGAACACTGTCAAATAGATGAAATGCGTTTTTTGTTTAGTTTCAAAATTCATAATAATATGAATTGTCAATCAATCATAGTCATATTATGATTCTGCCAATACCGCCCTTTTAGCCCTGCAGGAAAGAGTTCTAATTTCGAAATAAAATGTTTATTTTTCCTATTCTCATTTCATCATCATTCCTCCCATCTCTTCACCACTTGTATGGAATTTTTTTAAGCAAATAAAAAACATTTTTTTCCGAGTCGAGGCGCATAATTGCGATTCACAACTGGCCGATCGGAAATTTTTGACATTTCTAATCGAAACAATTTTAGTCACAAATTAGAAAGGTATAGTAGGAATCAGGTTCATCTTCTTGCTCAGAAACCCATCTGATTTCGAGACTACCCGATCGGTTCGAGTCCGAGTTGAATCAAAATCAGAACGCTGGTGATTGGTGTGGTTGTCTGGCATTATTATTAATATTATTTTATCTTCACATTTAAATTTTTCATCGAGTTCATTTTTGTACAATTTTAAACTAGTCCGTTACTTAAGAGCCTGTAAGTGATTTTGAAATTACATCTTTTTTATAACTGTGACTGACAATTAGAAAACTTATAATTGCAAAAAGTTTTTTTCTTCTAAATTCTCACGTTATTCTAATTCTAAATAAACAAAGTATTGTTGATACAATCATAATTGTTGATGCGTTCTTCTGGTGACCTGAAACAAGGAGAATTGATATTTTAGACATCAAACAATAAGACTCGGAAGAGCGAGGCCGGATTCGAACCCACGGCCTCTGCTTGAGAGGCGTTATGTCAGACCACGCTATCTACTACTAAGCAGGGAAATAAATTTCTGAGGCAGGCAGATGGGAACTGTGATATATGAGCCTCTCGCCACTACTGTAATACATATGTATATTAAAATACTAGAAAGGTTCATGAAAGAAACAAGATATATCTGCGGCTGAATTAGTGAATTTTTTCGCAATATTTACGACGTCTGTTTGTAATAAAAACAACACGTATTAACACATAAAACATTTACTTTGTCAAATGATTATTGCGCCCAGGGGAGGTGTATTTCATCGCAGAGGGAGATAGCGGCGCGATCCATCATAGTCTGGAATATTGTATATACATGCGATAAAAATGATGAAGATTTTTTGTCTGTTTTATTTTGTACTAAAGCAGAAAGTGAGATTGCACGTTGATGTTTTGGATAACATATTATTATTTAATGATTTAAACGCACCGCCAGAGTGATAGATATGAATTCTGAATAGTATTTCTATAATATATGGTTAATAAAAAAACTTTTGTTTTAAATTGGAAGTCAGTTGACAAAAAAAGTGCCCGTTGTGATATTTTTTGAAAATTCACTAAAACTCCCTACAACAACAATTTATCAATTTAATCAGTGTTTCAAGTGACTACAATACCTACAAAATGCATGAGAATTTTGAATTATTTAACAGAATAAAATATTTACTTTTGGCTTATATATATTAATAGATATCTTTTTTTTATTATGATATTAAGCAACGGGACGAATAAGTTGTGCGCCTGTCTAAAACGACACGCCTGTCCATAGCTGTTCCAGCGTCATCTCAGAGCTTTACAACGTAAGATCTAAGGGGCACTGCCACTGCGACCGTCACACCCCATGACATAAAATTGGCAAGTCATGTGCCTGTAATTTTACCAGGACCCTTGCCCTTCAAAACCGAAACGCAGCAATACTCATATTACTGCTTGGCGGCAGAAATAGGTAATGTAGCAGTAATTCCCCGGACGTACTCTTTCACAAGGAGCTCTACTTCTACTAAATTTTGATACTAAATTTGAGATAATCATATGAGAAGGATATACCTCTATCACGGGCTTGCTTGTGCGCAGGACTAGGCGTATCCGGTGTAGTAGGCGGGGGATCTGAAAATCATAAAGAAAAATGAAATTAAAACACGGGTGTCCTCACAGGTGAGGGTTTAGGCCATAGTCCTTTGGTCCAATGCGGGTTGGGGACTTCAAACGTTTTCCGAGGGTTGTTAATCTTCTTTGACGTGCAGGGTTCATCACGGTGTTTTCCTCTCATGCTTATGATAAATTTCAAATTATATTTCGCACATGAACTCCGAGAAACTGTGAGGTGTGAGCCAGGTATATAATAATATATATACTCATATAACCAGAAATGAAACGAAATGTCATTTAATTTGATTGAAAAGTATTCTCGCTGACAACTGCGCTCGATTTGCCAGCCCGAATTCGAAACAATTGACGGGTGTCGTGTCCGCCAGTTTAACTTGAGCTTTGCTGTAATGGACGTAAAATTGCGTAATTTAACATTTAATTACCGATGAAATGTGATTCCGTTTGTTTTGTAATTAGATGTTTTGCAGTTTTCCCATACCACCGAATGGAACAGCCCATCCCATACTTATCTTTACTACAATAAATAAGAATATTTTTGGAGTATACGGAGACGTACACACAGGTCAGTTGTTGGCGCTGCACGCTGAACTATTTCATTCGGCTTTCTAATTTGTGATTTCCGCGCAAACGAGAGTTGATAATTTAAAAGTGATATCAGTACCATTTGACTGATGAGTTGCCAGGAATGGATGGCCCTTATTTCGCGTCTATTACTGGTTATATGCCTACTCGCTGGAGCCTGGATTAAACCCCACGGCCTCTGCTCGAGAGACGCTAGGTTATTAGGCTACCACGGCCACGGCTTATTAATAAAATTTATAAAACTGCAATACCTATTTAAGTTAAAAGATTACCTCTGTAGAAAATATCCCTTTTTCTACTAAAATAGTTCGCCAGGGGCACTTGCATGTCGCATAGAATCTCCACAGTCGAAGGAAGGGATTCCATCTTCACGATAGAACTTGTTACAATCGAGTAGCGTTCGTTGATCAGCTTTATAGAAGTTTTAGACGGCAGAGGCCTGTCAAAGAAATAAATTTATTTTACATTATAAAAAGTTACAGACTCACGTCAATTACTTAGCTCCAAAATAAGAGAATTCTAAAAGAGTATCTAGAATAGTAAAATTAAGTCAGCTGCGCTGTGAACAGTTGCGTTGGATAACGTTTATTTACGTATTATTATACATTATTCATATTCATTTATTGCATGTCATAAACATAGCTAATTGACACCCTCCTAGGGCATAGCAACATTAGAAGACAGAGTTTCTTATTTTGTAGATTGCTTAGCCGCTCACGCGATACGTGCAGTCGTAGACAGTCGCAGTCGTAAAATCATCACCGGCACCTCTAGGTGTGGTATGCGTACCACACCTAGAGGTACCGGTGATGATTTTATACCGATTTATCGGATATCGAAGTTATAACAGGTAAAAGAACTAATATTACTAATACTACTAATAATATTAATTACTATTTCGGTAACGACTCTAGCAAACCATAAAGTTTTTAATGCATGGATCTGTCATTTAAAGAAAATAAACAACTTCAAAATTACATCACGACCATCGTGTGAGTGTTATTGTTTGGGCTGGTGATTTCGGTGTCTATTTATTGAAAACATACCGTAAGTAGCGTTTTTTAAGTTTACCTTGAATATAAATGTTTGTAAACTATACTTTAAGGAGTAATTTCATGGTAAACGTTAGAACCACTCAAAAGGAATATTATCATATTTATCCAAGTACACCAAAAATTTCATTAGTGCTTTTTATGTGCGGGATTTGCGGTGTATTACTGCATTTTATTTGAGATGTTTTTGTTGGTAATATGGAGGGTATTTATTTAGCAATGCAGAATAATAATTTTTATTTATAAAAACTTGTATTTAAACTGAATGCTTTTCTAATTTGGGAAACCAAATAACATTTTGCGGTAGGAGGAGCGCATCGCGTGAGCGGTTAATATATTAGTTTATAACATTATACTATCGAGTTCTTAGGTTTTCGCGATTGTTATACATAGGAATGAAACTATTTTTCCGGATTTAAATCGCGTATATTTGTTTTTTCAAACAAACCGACGTTTCGTTGTTTGACAGTCAACCGTGACCATGGGACCTGTAAAGGGCCCGAAACGTCGGTTTGTTTGAAAAAACAAATATACGCGATTTAAATCCGGAAAAATAGTTTCATTCCAACATTATACTACATTATTAATTTTTACAATAGCATCACTTTATACTTATACTTAATACTTACATTGTAATTGCAATAGTTATTAATTATTTTAAAAATAAAGCCATTTTATCAAAACATCAAAAGAAAATAAAAAATGTTTTTTTTTATAAATAACGCACACATTCAACATAGCCCCGCACTAGGGAAAACCTGCGTCGCGGGTGCCATGGACACACACATAGACAACCACAAATTACACCCAAAGTCACGAGAGAAATAATTGTTGAAAAAAAAGAAAGAAATTGAGATAGTAATAAATAACATACATCAATTAGGTATTCTAAATTCAAATAATAATTAAGTTTTCTAAAGGTAAAGTCATTTTAACAAGTAAACATTTTTTTAATTATTATAATGTTTGTCAATAAGCAATGTTTTTAATACTTTACAAAATTGTGTCGATCTTTACAAAATTGTGTCGAACTTTGCCCATTTAACCAAACAAGTATTTAATATTCTCGCTTCTTCTTACCGTGTCGATACCTGTTTCTTATCATGACTATATTGACTTTGAAAAGTGTAGTGTTATTTTGAGTGCGCTATCCGTTAATGCGTAGAGATCTTCCCTCGTGCAGGTATTAGGGCACGAGGAGCACATGAGCTAATGCTCCATGGATTATGTTGGGGCACCGCAGTCACATCAGGTTAGACTAGCATCCCTGAACTCCTATTTACACATCTTGCCTCTGCGGTGATCTACCGTAAAGCAACTTTGTGGTAGTTGCTGTTGATGGATCATGAAATCAGGTTTTTCTGTTGCCATAGTGCAAATCTACTGACAGTCGGATGGTCACTCGGAGTTTTCTAGAGCCAATGACTAGGAAATCAAATGCTGATATTAGACCTCTCAAGTAAAATTGCTCCTATAGACATATAATCGCCCGATATAGGCTAAATTTTGAGTAGTGCTTATCACGGTAATGATAATAACTCAATTATAACAACATCAAGTAACTCCATACAGCATCCGTTTATCTTTGCGGTACGCTGGAAACTGTTATTGATTACTGTTACTTTTGAGGCCATAGAGAAAGGGTTGACTGTCACTCTTTTGTATGCTTCACCATAGAGCATGCTACTACGTTAAAACGTTGACAAGTCATTACGGGTCAAAGAAATGATAAGTTGCGTACTAAATTGAGTCCACAATATCGAAGCCAATACAAGCACGGGTATTATAGATCTGCCAAAATCTCATGACAGACAGAGAAACTGGAATATATTGTTAGCATCACCTTGCATAATTGGAATAAACGTTCCAGTCAGAGAGTGCACCGCAATTAATCCTTCGTCATTGAGTAACAAGATCGAAACAGTTTGGAGTGGTATAGAATGTTAAAAATACAGGGTTGCCGAAGCAAAACCTGAAAGCATTTTTGTAATGGATATTGAAAAAATACACCAACTGCCCGTATCTAGGCACAGTGGATGAATAAAAGATGCAAGTACGGACTGTTTGTACGTTGTATTTTGTAAAAAAAGTGATTAGCGATGAGTGCGGCGGCTTGGCGTTTGATCGCGTTTTTTTTATTAGTGTACGGCCTGTGTGGCGAGATAGGCAGTGATGCCATGTCTGTCCTAGACATTCAGCAAAGGCTTTTTTATTACACTTGGATGAAATATTTTTGGACTCTAGGGTACGTCCTTGGCAATTTCAAGCGGAACTTAAAAATATTCAAAATTCAATACAACGTTGGCCTTTTAACAGATTGTATTTATTTTAAGAGTCTTTGCCTTGAAAACATTTTGAGATACATGAGTAATAACATCGCTGTAAAAATATGGCATAGCTGCCGCTATCCACCTTATCCGTTACACCAGCCAGTTATGTTTTATTTTGTATCTATGAAGTCCAGAAATCTGCCAGAGAACCAACACCCAACGTAGAATGAAATTTAAAATTTCGAAAGTATTTATTCTTAGTTAACGTTCAAATCGTGCGAAATTGAGGTTGCCATATATTTAAAATTTCGAGTCATGAGATACATAAGATACGAACGCAATCTGAATCCAATCACGTAGAGACATCGCACGGTGAAACTATAATGTCACTAAACGAAAATCTCGCTTTTTAAATTTCGCGCCATTCACGTGACAAAGCTACCTCTCAAGTATAAACACCTGTGCTAATAGACATTATAGTTTTCGCTAGATAATACTAGTTTATTACGAATTCTGATGCAATGCGCCCGCTGCATAACTGTATATATATTAACGCGAAACTTAAGTACTCAAGTTATTGATTGTATTTTAACTATAATTTTGATGTGCAATAAACAATATTTCATTCAAATTCAAATTCAAATTCAAAATAATCTTTATTTCATAGGTAAGCATTACTATTGAAATCGTCACAAATGGTTAAACTCTACCGCTCATTCGCAAGGCAGATTCCCCTGAGAAGAATGAGCAAAAAACTCTAGGGATTGCTCTTTGTAAATAACATTTGTACACATTCAACATTTATAATATATATATTTTTTATTTGAAACATCAGAGATCGAGACTACTTCCATGAGCTAAACGGGTTACTACCACGGAATTTTGTCATCCAAGTACGCAGAAGTTGTATTATATATATACACTCTTTTGCAAAAAAAACGGGCACCTAAGGAAATTTACGTTCTAAAGTCGATTTGAGTTAATTAAATGAAATTTATTTCTTTGACTTAGTCTGTATACTTATAATCGTGTAAATTAATGCGCGTGAAGTGAATTCGGGCAATTAAAAGAAAAAAAAACGATGGATTCTTTAAAACCGATGTACACGCCCAAACAATAAGAAGTGGTCGGCAATAAACACAAGATTTTTTTTACTTTCTTTAATTAAATAAAGTTACAAATGTAAAAACCTAATGACCTTCTCTTGCCAAAATCACAGCTTGTATCCTTCTGGGTATGCTTTTCACGATGTTTTTAATAACGTTTCGAGGAATACGTTCCCACTCTTCTGCAATGACTCTTTTTAGCTCCCTGATGTTTTGTGGAGCAGGTTGCACTGATCTTACCCGTCTCTTTAAAACATCCCAGACATGCTCAATTGGATTGAGGTCAGGACTTCGAGCTGGCCAATCTAAACGACGGATCCCAACTTCTTGCATGTACGCTTCCACGTCGCCAGAATGGTGCGGGCGAGCATTGTCGTCCATAAAAATGGAATCTTCCCCAAGTGCAGTCAATGTGGGTTGTGCATATGGAATTAGGACTTCCATTATGTACTGGTGCGCATTTAATGTTCCATTTTCTATGAAAACTAACTCCGTACGCTCCGTCGAATTAATTGCTGCCCAAAACATAACGGAGCCTCCGCCATAAGAAGTGATTTCTTCGAAACATACTTCCGCATAGCGTTCCCATGGTCTTCGCAGCACTCGCCGGCGTCGGTCCTCTCCACACAAAGAGATTCTAGCTTCATCAGAAAACAATACTTTATTCCAGTCCTCCAGAGTCCATGAAGCACAGTTCCAAGCAAACTGAAGTCGAGCAACACGGTGCTCACGGAGTAATTTAGGGCCCCGAGCTGGGCGGTAACTCCTGATATTGGCAGCCAAAAGCCTCCTCCTGACCGTCCACAAGCTAACTTCTACTCCTCTTACTTCTTCAAGGCTCTTCTTCAGGTCCACACTTGACGCCTTACGATTCCGCAACGCCTGACTCACCAAAAAGCGGTCATCTCTTGGTTCTGTGCATCGTTTTCTTCCCGAACCGGGTCTTCTTTTGACCGAACCGGTCTCTTGATACCGTTGCCAAGTCCTCTGGACAGTTGAACGACTCACATT